CTCTATCATTCAAATTCGTTCTGAGTTGTGAGAAGATATATTATGTTGGGAGATCTTTTATCATGTACATATGTGATTTTTTTCCCTCAAAAATATGGCCATCCTTTGTCATTGCTAATATTTACATGGGGGACTCCTTTGTTGGCAAGAAGCATTGAAATGACAGAACAATAGGAAAAAAACATATTCTGTTTAACAACTTTGCAGGAATTTTTGGCTCATGGCCTCAGCAACGTGATTCCTTCATTTTTCTTTTGCATACCAAGTGCTGCAGCGATGGGACGGACGACACTTTTATACAGTACAGGAGCCAAAACGCAGGTAATGGGTAATAGAGTGAAGTACATAGGAGAATTAAGGTTATGATACTGGTCACTGGAACTTATACTGATTTGTCCGTTGTATTTCCCTATTCTTCCTTTTCCTCTGTCCTGGGAAATGACTCTGCCCTGTCATTTTTAAAAATCTGCATGGAATTGCATCTGATCAGCAACTGTATTACTAGAAAAGCTAATGGTTCCGCTTATTCATTTTTACCTGTTTAATTCAATATAAACTCTAAAGTCTATGGCAGTAAGGAAGTTAGAAGTTGTGTTTTCATACCGCAGGAAACTACACACAAGCCCTTTCAGTTTTATGTGAATTTGTTAGCACTGTAACAAAAGTGCCCTCTAATGGTGTTTAATGGATTTAATGGTACAGGCTAAGCTGAAGTTTTAGAAAAAACTGAAATTTAATTTAGTGCTTCTATCTGATTTTCAAAATAAAGTGAAATAACCTTAAGAGCAGCTGCTAAAAAACCAAAGCAATCTCCCAACTTCTGCCTTGTGACACGGCATACTTCTCCATCCCCCAGTATACACTGAGCCCACAGAGATGACAGATTTTTGAGGACTTTTTGGGCTATTTCCTACTGTTGGAAACCAACCCTGCAAGTTCTTACTGCAGTAGCTCAGAAAAGAGAGAACTGCAATTGATGAAAATTATAATTGTGACCCCGTAAGGCTGTTATGTGTCCAAACCATACCCATGAATAAGAGAGGAAGCAAACTGATCATCTGTGACCTTTACATATGGTGGCACCACGTGGGCCACTGCAGCTGGGACACCCCTGGGGCAGGCCCAAAGCGCTGCCCCTCCCTCCTTCCACTGAGACTCAAGGGTCCATCAGTGGCGTCCTGATATATAAATAGAATCATAGAATAATTTAGGTTGGAAAAGACCTTTAAGATCATCAAGTCCAACCGTTAACCTAGCCCTGCCAAGTCCACCTCTAAACCATGTCCCTAAGGTGTCAAAAGCTTTACTAAAGTCTAGGTAGACAACATCCACAGCCTTTCCCAATGTTATGTCCTTTGGAGTTTGTTGCTGTTGTCTTTTTCTAACTGTTGCTCTTGCCTGTGTAAATGACAATAACGACAAGGAAAAGAATAACAAGGTACAACTGACAAGGCTAAGTACAGTCTATAGGTGCTGTTTCTTCTTGACCATGTCTTGCAATTATTTCTTACGCAGATATGACAATACTAAGAAATGATACAAGTCTTTATTGCAAACCTCTGCATGTTAATTACTTGCTAATTAGGCTGCACAGTGCTCTGAACTTGATTAATCATAATGAATAATTTATCCAATAATAATAATCTTTGAAAGCATTTACATGCAAATAATTTAGCTACTGTTTTGCTATTAGCTATTTCATATGTTTGAGTTGGATTCAGTGTCATACCACATGCTCTCATCCTCACAGACAATCCTCTTCTGTTACCTGTTCACGTATTGCCTGTATAGTTTGCAGTTGTACTGCATCATGGCTTTTCCAAGGAAGCTTTAAGGTAACCTGAAGATCTATATCTGAAGACCTATAACCTGAAGGCATGTAGTGTGTCTGAGCACTTTGGCTCTGGTACATGTAGGCAAAGACGCTGATAGAAGGTTATTCAATATATGAAATGGAAAAAGAAACCACCTTAGTTTGATTTCAATGTAGGAAGCACATGGTAAAAATAACAAGTATCTGCCTGGTTTTATCCATTGGTTTCACAGTATAGCAGAGCCTGCATCCAAAAGTTAGAGCGTGGCCATACATTAGCACTATGAGAGTATTTTAATAAACATAAAATTCTCTCTCCTGCCTTCTTTTTGGAAAGTAACACATCCGCTTAATCCTCCACTTTTGGGGCTGTCTAGGCAGAATGAAGAGATGAGAACATCACTAATAAATGTTGGTCAGACCATAGACAAAAAGAAGAGTGAGGGGTTGCTTTGACTACATAGAGAGAAGTCAGTTTACTTTGGTATACGTCATGAAAGAAATGCAAAGTCTTTCAGGGGCTCAGAGCAGCCCTTTTTTCTCCAACAGCTATACCTGTGTTTCGGTGATGCCATTTATTCTTCAGTGACATATTTTCTTAGAAGAAAACAGAAGTGAGGGACTGTATCATGGGCTACAAGTGTCCTTCAAATAGAATCAGTACTTTTTTTTTTTTCTTTTTGGGAAGGCGTAGAGAGGGAAATGTTTCTTGTGACTTTACCAGCAGATTTAGTGTCCCTTTTTCTGTAAACACTCTGTCTATACTTCTTGATGGTATTTTTAAGTACACCATGGCTTTAATTTTCTAGTGTTTTAACAACTTGTCTGGTTTTGTTTTTAACAACTTGTCTCTTAAAATGAAACCTAATTATTTTAGTAAAGAAACATATTATCAATATAAAAATAAAGTGAGCATCTGTCTACTTATCGTCAAAAGCCTTCTGTGAATCTGGACGGTATCTTAATGAGACCAGAAGTACTCTACTTTGTGAGCACTCAAACTGGAGTAGGAGACCGCAATTTTACTGTAGTTTTCCATCAGATTAATCCTATATAATACTGTGAAGAAACACATAATTCTTAGACCATATATTTGTCTGGATTTTTGTCACCTGCATTAATTTTAATTTTTAATATATACAGAAAAATTGCTCCTACATTTTCTAAAGTCCACTGGTATTAATGTCAAATCATTGGTGGTTTCTGACTTAACACAATAGTTTCCTTTTAGTGTTGATCCCAGTAAAAGAGGTTAGAAATCTTCTCTTGTGCAAAAATGGTGACACAGTTCTCCATATACAATTTTTGCTCAGTGCTATGACAGATCTGTTATTTAGTGCAACACAGGGCGCATGACTATAAATATGTTACAAAATGTCAGTGGGTGCTGCGAAACTTCTGGGATGACATATGGCACGCACACACTCCATTTAATAACTGAGTGTGAGCAGGGTCAAGCACAGATGTTAAGACCTCTTACTATGTTTTCACTGTAGTTGGCTGAAGGTAATCACCAGAGATTAAAACTGAAATTATATGCATCTGCAATCCATAGATACGTTGATAGCTAACATCTTCAACATCTCATTCTTGACTTTGTCTATGATAGATTATAATTAGGCCTTTTCACACATTTTAATGTATTTTTTTATTAGTCTGAATGATCTGCTTTTCTTGTTTATTGGTTTAGGTGGCTTGCCTTATCTCTTGTGTATTAATTCTTGTGGTGATCTATGCAATTGGACCTATGCTGTACTGGCTGCCTATGGTACGGTATTTATCTTCTTTTATAAAGATTGTATCAACATTTTCTAATGACTTAGTTTCTTTCAGGAAAAGATAGTACTTCCTCTAAACCAGCTCTAATTTCAATAGAAGAAAGAATAGTAAGGGCACAGGAAGTCTCAGAATCATAAAATACAGAGGTGACAACATAATACACATAGCTTTTCACATATATAGTTGCATATATAGGCTATCATGTAAGTATATAAGAAAGCATTTCTCTTCCACTTACTTTTGGCACATAGTTTATGTAAAATATACATCCAGATTGCTAGGGATTAGTAAATTGACAAAGTGTGGTAGAAACTAATGAAGATCCACAATTTTTCTCCAGTTATGCATATGATGTATGAATTTGCCTTTCAAATAAATTCAACACAAATGATTGTAGATAGTAATCTAAGCTTAATTACAGAAAGGTTATGAGGTAGTCTTGTATCGCTGTCATGGAATACGTCTTCTACGATAAGATTCTGTAAAGCAACGTGGTGTGTTTTCACATAAGCTATATCTAACTTTTGGTATTACAAACTAATAGTTAATTTTAACTAGAGGCATGTCAAAGACGCAAAATACAGCTCCAAAATTATCCATAATTCTGCCATGTTTGTACATTAAATTTTAACTCAACTGTGTTTTAAATTTACTTGGTGCTATTGTTTACATAGTGTCACATGAAGGTTCTCACTTTTCAAACACAGATCCTTTTATAGCTTATTTTAACCATGTGAAGTAAGGACACTTGAAGAGGGGTGCACAATATGTCCTTTTTCTTACTATACTGCTTTCCTCCCTTCATTTTTTGTATGGATTATATGTTCATTTTGACTGGTTTCCTGTAGGCTTTTTTTCCCATATTTTAAAAAACTTTTTGTATGTTGCTTTCTTGATTTTTTTTTCTTTTCTATTATGCTTTTTCAGCTCTCCCCACCTATGCACTGCAAGTCTATCGCTTTGTACTCCATCCTTTTTGGCTCCAGGTGATTTCTTCATCCATCTCCTCCTCCTTTCTGATTTGGAGGACAATAAATTATTTTGTTTGCCTCAAAGTTAATGGATTTTTTTGCTCTAGAGGCCTTCTCTAGGTGGTGAAGAAGGGGAATTAATGTTCTTCACTGTGTAGAAGTTGAGTGCTGCTTTGCCTCTGAGTCCCCCAGACTATGACAGAATGTAGTTGGTCTGGGGACACAAGGAGAGTCTCAGGAAGTCCTGAAGTTTCTGTCATTTTTCTCACAATTAGACAGCCTATAGATTGCCTTCAGAAAAAAAATTGGTTTGGTACAGTTAGGTTTGTGTCACAAGGACACCTGTGCTTATCCCATTTTTGAAACACTAACTTCAAGTTTTGATAATTTAATTAAAATTTTGACTGATAAATTGAATAAAGAGCATTTGTTTTCACTACCAATTCTGCAAATGGCTTTTTTTTTATTTTCTTTGCAGTGTGTGCTGGCAAGCATTATTGTTGTGGGCTTGAAGGGAATGCTAATGCAGTTCCGTGACTTAAAAAAATATTGGAATGTGGATAAAATAGACTGGGTAAGTGAAACTTAATCTAAGGAAGTTTTCCTGAGACCCTTTAACAAATACCTGCTAAATAAACTTCAGTAGTTCTGTGGTCATAGAAGAGATAAGTTGCAAGCTATTATTATTAGGATATTTGTGTACTATAGGCTTATTTTCTATCTCAGAATAACAGCATCTGTAAAGTCAATTGTATTAAAAAAAATGGAATTTTAGCAAATGATAAAGAATCAAACCTAATTTAATGCTAAAGATGTGTATACAGACAGATCACATTAACCTGAGCAGATGTGTGTCTAATTTTGTATGCCTTCTCTAGCTGGTTAGCATGCTTTTGCTATTATCGAGGAGATTCTGGTATCTTTGTCCGCTGGGGGTATGGAATGACCATACAAGACAAACAGAACTGGAAACACTAGAGATGCAGAAAGATCCATGTCCTAGGGTGCTGCAGGTAGATTGCCTTAACTCTCAGATTTTGCAAACAGAATATTTATTGATTGATCATAATGCAAGATTCTGCAGTATGAGAGGAGGACAGGACAAGGAATAATGGATTTAAACTAAAGAAGAACAGATTTAGACTAGACATTAGAAAGACATTTTTTACAATGAGGGTGGTGAAGCACTGGAACAGGTTGCCCAGAGAGGTAGTGGAGGCCCCATCCCTGGCAACATTGAAGGTCAGGCTGGCTGGGGCTCTGAGCAACCTGATCTGGTTAAAGCTGTCCCTGCTGACTGCAGGGGGGTTGGGCTAGATGACCTCTAAAGGTCCCTTCCAACCCAAAGCATTCTATGATTCTATGATTATGAATACATCAGAAAGAGCAGATAGATGGAAAGAGACATAGTACGAAAACCTAGTTTAATGCAGTGTCTGAATAGTCTGACATACATTTGCACAGAATTCCTAGCAAATATTAAAGATGAGTCCATGTTTAGGAAGACTCCTAGATTTCTCTTCTGTGGGAGTTTTTGAATGTATTGGCCAATTAGTGGAACCAAAACCTCTAACCACTTACATAAATACATATTGACATCCCATAAAGCTTTTGGAACTTCTGTTTATGCAGTGTCAGTTAACAAGAATTCTTGCTACTAATAAGGTATTAAGGTAATAAGTAGTTAAGTTTTCCAGCAGGATATTCTGGAAGGTCACTAGTCTTGATGTGTCTTCATAGATAGACTAGCCTGATGGATTTTTGGTTTTGTGGTTTTGGCAGAAAAGGAGGGGTAAGTAGTTATTACATCTCTGACATCTGTCATTATTTCTAAGAAAGGTTATAGAGAGGGAGAGTTTGCTGGGCTTATCTTTTTGACTGGACATACTTGAACAATGATTTATGTTCAAGTAGTTGCACTATCAGTCCTTAGCCTGACAGGGTAAATCAACTTGCTTTAAATAGCATCATATAAAGTAAGGCTATAAATGTTGATCTTACATTGCTGCCTGGTTTGAGGAGCTCCACCAAGCCCAGTGATTTGAGTAACTGGTGTTGAGTTTGGCCTGAAAAGATTCACCCCAGCAATTGACAGCACATTGGAAATGAATCAGTTCCATTACAGAGGTTATCCAAAGTGTTTTGAAGACAGAAACTCTAAAAAAACCATTTGGAAATAATTAGCAGCTGTTCTTTCTGGAACTCCTTCTTTGAAGGGCGTGTGTCATGTAACATAGAAGTCAGGTTTGTTATGCTCATCGGTCTGGCAAATGAGAGTGCGTGAAAACAGAATATTATGGCTTTTGTTAACTTGTTCCTTTGTACTTCTTTAAGCTTCTCACTGAACACAAACAGGATGAGTAATATTTATTTGTTCATTAGTTCTTTATAAAACATAATCCTGTTAAATGTAAAAGGTACAGCTTGAAAGGTACAGCTCAGGAGTTGAACTCAATGATCCTCGTGAGTCCCTTCCAACTCATGATATACTGTGAGTCGATGAAATCTCTCCTTTAAGCCACGGATTGCTTTTTCTTGCAGATTTAATGTTTAGAAGCAGCTGAGTTCAAAGGAGCAGCTAGGCTGACAGACCTAAGCAGCTAATGCTAAATATTATCAGCTGAATATTATTATGTATATTTGTTTCAGTTTTCTTTCAACTTGTTTTTTATCAGCCCTCGGGAATGTCCTCTTTTTACATCCCACCTCAAATCACATTCAATTTCTTTCCAGCTAGAACCCCACTGCCCTTACTCAACAGAGTAACTAACTCCAAAGAGTAACTTTCCTGCCATTCGCAGCACTCATATGAACTTCAAAGGTCTCTTGCTTCAGTTAAGGTCTTCTGTCAGTCCCTACACCTTCTTGGATGACTTCAATAATTTCGGATCAATAATTTCTCTATTCCACTATATATGTTAAATACATAACTGATTGCATAACAGTATTCGTCCTCCCTCTGCTGTCTTCATCTTTTGGCTATTTCCAAGGTGTTGATTCCTGTGTTATCTGTGTTTTTTGCATTAACCTGAGAACGATTTGTCTTGAATTTTTGCCTGTTTTGGGGGAACTACCAGGAAGTTGATCTGGAATTCTTCTGTAAGTGTATCTCACTTTTCAGGTCCTCAGATCAAAAGTGGATTTCCATATCCTTCCTGCAAGCCTAATTTCTTATGCAGGCCTACTTCGTGACTAACTTCCCTTTTTTATTCTCCAGCTTGACAGTGCACTTTCCTAGTATAAACAAAAAGGCCAGTGCACTTTCCTAGTATCAACAAAATGCCAGTTAACTCTTGTTTTTAAGGTTGAGCATCCCAGATGAGCTGCAGCCATATAAACTAGGCAAAGACTACTGCCTCGTAATGGACTGCTGAAGAAAAATATTCTTTTTGCTGCTAACAGTTGGACTTGAAAGTGACAAAAGATGGGGAAAAAGTATTTCAGAAGGTGACCCTCTAAGTGAAAAATGACAATACAATAAAGATTATTTTCATGAGTTACTTATATAACAGGGATTTGGGGTATTCAACAGAGAAATACTATGGCATTTAAAGAGGAAAAAAAAAAAAGTTAGAATTGTACAAATGACTTCTCCAGAAAATGACCACAGCTGAGGCAGAGCTAAGTTGTACGCCTGACTTTTAAAAATTACACATTTCCTGCATGGTGTAGTGATGGGAGAGGTAGCTATGGATCTATGAATTGTATGTAAGCACATATGTTAATATATAAGGATGTAAAGAATACTACTAATTCAGAAATTAAAGCAGATCCAACAAGGAGGTTCTCACTTTCTACAAGTGTCCTCCAAGATCTTGCCAGTGTGAGTTTCTAAGACATGGAGCCACCAACTTGTCAATCTCTTTTGTCAAAATAGACTGGAGTAGGGGGCCCAGGGAGTGTCTTCCATGGAATGTTGGAGCTCACTGGTGGAATTTCACGTATTTTTAGAACTTTTTAGCATATTATCCTCAGGAAGGAGATGAGCTTTTAGATTTGTTCAGGTATTCATCACATAGGGGCCCTGATTCATGAGAGAACACTGAGGGCTTTGCTATTTAAACAATTTTCCAAAGAGTAGGAAGCCACCTCTTCTGTGATAATAATTTTACATGACTGCTTCCAGTTTATGACACCCTAGGGAGATTTTCTATCCTTCCCTCATTAGTGAATACACTACCCTGAGTTATATTAGTTTTGCTGCAGTTACTCTCAGTGGGGTGGGAAGGAATTTACAAATGCTTAATCCATTGAAAGTGTGATTGCCACATAAATTCTTTTTAAAGAATAATATTTATATCAGTCCATCTGTCTCCAGGGCAGTCTGTGCAAACAAATACCTTCTCAACCATTGTGTATGGAATGCTTGTGAGAAATTATACTAAAGAACTACCATACCACTTTCCTATTAAGCAGTTCGTGTTTCATGCCTGTAGTGGTTTCCACTTCAGCACTTGAATCATAAGTTTTGATGAAGGGTGCCCTGAGGACATATGCACACATCAGTCATTTGTCTGCAGAAGGACATGGGAGTATGGGCATGCTATACAGCCTCCCTGGAGCCAGAGCCTCCTCCTGGACTCCAGCATCTTCTCTGCCAAGGCATCCCCTGAATGAATGGGACTTTACTAGTATTCTTCTTCCGGCTACGTGCTGGTGACTGCAGCAAGGGCCACTGTATCTGAACAAGTCATCACAGCCTCACATTATAGACAGTACAGAGCTGGTCAATCAAGTGATCTTAGGGTATGATTCATCTCTTCCTGAAGTAGGCAGCAGCATAATCAGGTAGGAGTCAGGTGAACTGTATCCTAAATTCCCCTCACTCTGATAACCAGGTCTCTATTGATTATGGTGGGAATCTAGACAGCTCACCCAGGTGTAAACATCTGTGCAGTGGATAGCTAATCCCAAGTGAAATGAACCCTGCCCATACAGACAATAGCTGATCATCTCCTCAGTTTGCAACAAAAAGGGAAGCTTATAATCTGTTTTCAAAGTGGTACAGAAACATTTAGTATCACAGTATCTTAGTATTGAATTTTTTAGCCATTGGCTCAGAGAGTATTCTCCCACTTTATCTATTTATATGCTTTTTTTTCCACCAAGTTCCCATTTTACACTCCCCTCAATGGCGGATGGGTAGACCTTATGAAATGAAAAGGTCTACATGGAAACACACTGTCCACAGTGTTTCGGAGGCAGCTGCTATACATACAGTCACAGTATCTCTCAATGCTTCCTACACTTTCTGATATATGCAGAATTCAACATAAATCCATCTCTCCTACTTGTTTCTTTTCTCCCTCTTCAGAATTTTTAAAAAATTAATACTGTACAAGCATATTTTGAAGTTGGGTTTTGTTTTGACTTTTAAGAATAACACGTGCCTGTAATAAATTATTGCTAAGATTTGAAGAATCACTAGATTCTATCTGTCCTGGAATATACAATAACCATCTTGAAGTAAGTTGCCAAAGAAAACTTTGATATTGTTACGACTTCTTTGTTGAACCTTGTGACAATCCATGAATTAAAAAAATGCCTATGAGATCAACATAACTTCTTTCTACAAGTTTGATGCTACCCTACCTAAAAAGTACTGACTCCAGGCCAATACAAAGGACTGAAAGGGTGATTGATAGATGAGAATATGATTGTTTTGGCTCATCCTCTACAACAATGGCAGAGTCTCTGGTTACAGTTAAGATGTGAGATACTAGGCTGCTTAGTACTCAGCAGTACTTAAACATTTTTGGCTTTGATTCTTCCTATGAAGATTTTGTATTGGGTTTTCATGCTTTCCGTTTTCTTCTGAGACAGAAGAATTTTGCAGGTCTTGCAGCAGTGATTTAGCTAGATGTGATGAGGCTCAGGTACACAGCTGAAGTGGATTACGTGATCTCAGGTGTTGTCAGGGGTTCAGCCTTATCAGGATGGGCTAATTCTTGATCCTGCCTGAATTTCAGATTTGTAGTTCTGTTAGCCCTTTCATGTCCAGGGAGCTCCTTCATAAATATATATTGGATTTGTAAATCTCAGAATTACTTTCTCATTGATTAATCAGAACTCAATGTTTGTTGCTCATAAAGATATTCTTTGCAAACATATACACAACATCTTGTGTAAGATGTCATAAAATAGAACTAGAGGTTGAGCATTGTTTCAAAGAATGAACTATCTCTTTACTTAGCAGCCATGTCGTTGAAGAGACTGCAAAACCTTTTGCAGTAGTTTAAAATTTTGAAGATGAGGGAGGAAAAGGTTTCTCAGTAGAGTCAGGTAACACTCTGTCCTCTGTGAAGCACAAATTAGTACCGTATGACTTACATTTTATAATTCATAAAATAACAGTTCTGAAATCTGCTTGAGCAAAATTCCTGTGGTTAGGCTGAAAGTATTCTATTGTCTCTGGCTTTTCTGAGCTAAGTGAAAGCATCAGAAAGGATAATTTTAACACTGATTATGCCATTGTAATGTGATCTTTCCTTCTGCAAACATTAACAAGCGGCACTGTAATTGTTGCAACAGGCACCTGTGGAGATCAGTATATCCAGAGGAATGAAAATCTTTCCATTCTTCTTTAACACTTTTCATATAAAGATTAGGTAGCAGACTTTGCTTAAGGCCCCCTCAAGGAAAGAAATATATGCTGACATTTAGTTGGTATAAGAAATCAAGTAATTTGTACTTTTCTCGTTTTAACTGTAAAATCTGGATATCTCTGCCATACACATCATTGTAGTATGGAAATATGAATGACCGTTTCTATTTAGAAAATAATTAAAGAAAAAATTTTAAATGTTAAAATCTTTTGGGCTTTTAATATTTTAATTTCCTTTTCAATGTGACTTTTGTTTCAGATATGCTTCTTTGTGTTTTTTTTTAAAGGGTATTTAAAATGAATCTGAAGTTTTATTAACCGAATATTGAAAGATAGGGAAGTAATCTGAAATCTCACAATTTCCATGTGAAGAAATTCATTCCCCAGTAATTTTTATTTGTGATAAAATTGGCTTAGTCAGTGGTACTCTGATAAATGCCACTTTTAATTAACCTCCTTGCAAATTAGAATTCCCACTTACACAATTAGTGGGAGAATAGCTCTCTGTATATGACCTTTAGGGTACCTCATTGTGTAAAAGGAAAGAGGGATTTTAAATGTGTGCAGTGAAGAAGGTTACAAAAACTTGCAATGTGAAAAATAAAAAATAGGTTTTACAAAACAACTGAGTTAATTCTGATTTATGTTGTTAGTGCAACTACGTATGCTATTTTAAGTAACTCTGAAAGGAACCTCTGTGAGCATTGGGATGAGTAGTGCCATGTCATATGTGTTGTCCCATGGGGAGGCATTATTTTAATCACTAATTCAGTCTTCTATATTTGCCAGTTCAAAGATCTGAATGTTCAGCTCCCTGAAGCTGTCTTCATTTTAAAAATCTTTATTTCTCATTTGTAAACTGCACATTATTACAAAAATTGAAACTAATCACCTTTTTCTGTTTCTCTCCTTAAAGAGCATATGGGTTAGTACCTATGTGCTTACAATATGCTTTGCTGCTAACGTGGGACTGTTGTATGGCATTGTCTGCACTATAGTAATTGTGATTTTCCGCTTTCCCAGGTGAGAAATAAATTTATTGAAATGTTCTATTAGCACATTGTTATATTTTCTTTCTGGCACATTGCTTCACTGTTGGGGTAGACATACAGTACACTAAATTTAACACCAAAACTTCATTTTTCTAGTTGCAGAAAATTACTAGATAAGACAATTCAAAAGGAAAAGTCACACCTGTGCATTTACTGTGAGCTAAGGATCTCTAAAACATTTCATACTATGGCATTATTTTGTGATTTCTCTTAGTAATACACATCTCTATAACTCATTAGGTGAAGGTAGCATAAGATCAACAGAAAGATCAATAATCTAAATGTTTTTCCATTAGATATGTATTTGCTCTTTAAGGAGAAAGTATGTCTGGCAAGCCTTAGTAACTAAGCACCCTTATAAACTCCTAGATATTATGTTGCACAGGAGTTGATGGCTGACATTGGCACTGCTAATATATATTAATGAAACATAACTGTACAACTATTCTGATGTATAATGAAAGTACATTATAAATTCTATATATGAATTAGAAAATCCAGGACAAAGAAACTAGAGCTAATACAAATTTGTATATTCTTTTTCATATATTACAGTTGCTACTCTGGATCACGAGTAAAGGAAAATACCAGTTGAGGTTCATGATCATTTTGTGCTATAAATTTAATCCATAGCTTACCAGTTTTGAAAATGACTGCTGCTTGCAGGCAGTTGTTTGCAGAAACACTGAATCCCACTGAAATTAAGTACGGTATAGACAGCTTGATTTCATGCTTGTTAAAGCTAATGGTGTTAAGCATTAGTGCATAGCTCTGTTTTCATAGAATAAGTTGCAGAACCAGCATGAAAATAGCTCAAAATTGCAAGGCAATTACAAATTATGGAAGATGGTTTCTGCTTGAATCAATCAGTACCTTTTCGGTAACCTTCTCCTACTCAGCAAACTAAAATTTTGGTAAATTTCGCTAATAAAGGAAAAGGTAAGTTTTCATGTTGTTTACACCCTGCGCTTGGATGTCTGAGGTTCTGTCACAGGAGAAAGGGAGATATATTTGACATAAAATAGCATGATCTTCTGTTATCTGATCTAAGGGACCTCAGTCTCAGCCTGCACTGATTAAAGT